TCGAGATGGCTCATCGGATATCCTCTCTAAGGTGGACTTGGGTGCAGCTTCAGGCTCCAAGCATCCTACCTGTGTGATCATGGTGAAGCCCCATGAAGAATGTCAGAGGCCTATGATGAGTGCCTGAAGGCCAGCTGCCACCTTTGTGCAAGTCTCGGGCAGCAGTCTGGCACCTGTTACAGAAACTGCTGGATGGCTAAGGGTGCCTACAATGCTCAGAATATCTCCCCGACTTCTTGAGGCACAGATTCTTCCCTAGGCAGCATCCGCAGCTGTTCTTAGAGGCAGAGCAATCATCTTTTCCGTCAATGTCATTTCTGGTTGAGCTTAAATGAAGACAGTTCTAAGAATGTGGGGTATGAGTAAATACTAAGGGCAGGGGGGGAAAAACTCTATGAAGAGGAAGAAAGAGAGGTTGACAAAGGACTGTTGACTGGCAGGACATCCTTAGCATCACTTATAAAGACATGCAAAATGAGTCAGGAGGACTTGACTAGTCTGGGGAAAGGAATAGAAGCTGTGCACTAGCACTCCTGTGAATGTCATCGATTTATTTAAACCAATAGCATATACTAGTCCTTTAATAAAAAATAAAACTTAATAAAAGACCTGTGTGATAGATAAAATGAGTAGACATACGTCTAAGAGCTATGATCCATTAAGAGTGGCGGGGGGGGGGGGGGGGGGGGGGGGGGCAGGAGAGATGGCTCAGCGGTTAAGAGCACTGCCTGTTCTTCCAAAGGTCCTGAGTTCAATTCCCAGCAACCACATGGTGGTTCACAACCATCTGTAATGAGATTTGGTGCCCTCTACTGGTCTGCAGATGTACATGCAGGCTGAACACTGTACACATAATAAATAAATAAATCTTAAAAAAAAAAAAAAGAGTGACAGGGAGGCTACGTTCTTGAAGGAATGATGAGTAAGAAAAGTGTTGCTCATCCCTCACCCCCTTTCTATGTTCAGAACAAAGGTTAACAAATTCTTGAGGCATGAGGTATAACTCTAACCCCTTCACTGTGTCTTTTCTGCAGGGGGACACATGTCAGGCTGGCAGGGTCAGCTGATGAGATAAAGTTGGCAGGTATTGGGGTGGTAGGATATGTAGCCTTGCAGTGCCCCAAATTAGCCCATTTTTCAGGACTTAAATACTGTGACAAATCGCTGACAGCGCGTGCAGAAACAACTATGGATTCCCTGTATTCTATGAGAAAACATGAAGAAGAGGTCCTTGGGAAGCAAAGAGAATCCCCCTCCCAAAAGATGGAGGTAGTTGATCCTGCAGGACTGTGGGTCCTCAGGAATAAGTCAAATGAACCTTCCCGTATAACTTAAAACTGTTAGAAAAAAAAAGAGAAGCCTATAGGCTCAGCTGATATAAGGATCAAACCAACTAAACATTTTTCAATGAGACAAATAGACTAATTGGGAAAGTTAATGGAGTTTTAGCTTGAAATTACCAAATTTCTTTGGGTTAAGATGAAGTAATCTGAGATGGGTTATTTGATTTTCAGTTGGGTTATGGCAGATGCTTGGAGTGGCAGGTGATTAATACACCAACATCCTCATGGGTGAAAGCTTTGTTTGATTATGTTTAAAAAAAATCAGCAGTGGGGATGAAGACATGGAAAGTAAGCTTGACCACTTCTCTCAGAATGGGGATGGTCCCAGGATGAACCTGGATTTTAAATGTTCTTCTAGTGAGCTAGATAACTGGCTGAGTAAGAAGGTATGTTCTTATAGAGCACCGGAGTTTGGTTCTCAGCACCCACATCCAGCAGCTCACAACTGTCTATAACTACCTCCAAGCACCTCTTGGGGCATCTGTATACATGCATTCATGCATGCATGCATCATGGGAGATTTCCTTCTGAAAGGATTGAGCTGGCCTTCATCTGGAATCAGAAGTGCTGATGGAATGGAAAGGCATTTCAGCTAGGTGAAGGGTGGCCCAAGGAAAAGGAGTGAGTTTCTTCCTTCATGGGCTGAAGAATAAAGATAGTTGACTAGAAGCTGTGGAGGAAAATTATGTGTGGTGGTCCACACCTTTAGTTCCTAGAACTTGGTGGGCAAAGGCGAGTGGATCTCTGAGTTGAGGCTAACCTGTTCTGTTTACACACTGAGTTCCAATCAGGGCTACATAGTGAGACTGTCTGGAAAAACAACAACAAAAAAAAAAATTGTGGAGGAGCAGACTTTAACTCAACACACATAACAGGAAACAGTTTGTAAATTGGTGAGTGATACTTCATGTAGAAGCAATTTCCTTTTTGCTTATTCTAGGAGAGGCTTAGTTACCATCCATCAGCCAGGTGACAGGATGCTGTAACAAGGAATTCACAGGTTGTAAGCCCAGCTCAGGCTGTTTGCTGATCTAGTAGATCTGTCTGTTTCCCAGGTGGCACATAACTGTCCTCTCCCGAGGAGAGGAGAGAACAAAGAAAGAGAAAGAATTCATAAGGGTCTGTCTGATATGACCTGATTATACCAGAACCCCAATCTTTGGTTCTAGTACCCTTACATTAGGAATTAGTATTTCAATACATGCATTTCAGTAGGAGATAATCATTGCATAATACATTGATTTGTACAATGAATGAAGCTGTTTGCATTAATGAGCACACAGGATGGGTGGAGTGCATATATAGCATGTTCTAAAGGTACCATCTAATCCTGGGCTCTTTACTTCCATTATAATGCCTCTAGTCCAGAGTTGTTCTAGTTCTCAGAAAATATATGCAAGTGTGGAATTTGTTTGCTGAGCTTCTTGGATGAGCTAGAGTCAATTTTATCCTAAGAAAAGTCTTTTCTTGCTACTCTCTGATTTCGCAGCAGGGACAGATTTTTGGTCTTGAACAATTACCAAGTGATATACAAGTACCCATTAGTCATTAGGAGGTGCCTCTGTTTTCTCTGCAAGCTGGCTTTCCTGGGATTTGATGTTTCTGATGAGTTTGTGGGTCTTCTTTGACAGGACGGACGGGCTGCATCGTCAATTCTGGTTGGTGCTATGTTCATTTTCTGTAATCTCTACTCTACTCCTGGCCCCGCTGTTCGATTGCTCTACGCAAAGCGACCGGGAATTGGACTGTCTCCATCCCACAGGAGGTACAGTAATGGAAGTGCAGGGTGTGGGTTAAGTGATGCCCGGGTACTGCAGAAGGTTGGCTTCCTGGGAGCTCTTGTTTAATTTTTTTCTAATTGATCTGGTGTTATTCTGAACTATAATGACAATTAAAATGGATGATAATATTGGGTTTTCATGCAGGTCCATGAACCCTTATTTGAAAGTCTGTGATTTTTAAAATGCTAAGAAAACTTTTAAATTTGCCAATGTTTACTGAATGAAAAAAAAAAAAGAAATAAAAAGGCAAGGTCAAGACTGCTCCTAGGTAAGGTGGAAGAGAAAGTTTGTTGTAGATGTGAGGGAGAGCATAGCCAGAAGCAAAGATATCTGGGAGAATCCAGAGTGGACATGGCCAGACTGAGCTGGACCACGTCGGGAGGAGAGGGAAATGGAAAGGGGAGAGAAGCAGCCAGAAGCAGCAGTCAAGAGGGCAGAGGTACAAAAAAAAGAGGTGAGTGACCAAAATGGCTGAGTTATATAGGGAAGAGCCTCTGGCTGGAGAGTTCAGGGGGCAGAGGGCGGGGTATACCAGCCATGCCCTGGTAACAGGTAGGGACTGAAGAATCCTGGGAGAACCTGGTAGCCAGGTCTGCTTTTGAAATGCTGCATAGGCACCTTAGCCGCTTGTCCTAGGGTCTGATACTTAGCATTTACTGTCCTCCTTTAAGAGGAGAGGAAGCATGAGTGAGAACTGGACGAGAAGGCTGTGCTAGGCACCACTCTAAAAATACCCACTGAACATAGCTTGACTGCTCTCTCCTGTCTGAGCTCCCAGTGCCTTCCAGTTTATGCTTTAGGTCTTTATTAAGACACACTGGTGATCACTGCATGAAAATGCAAAACTATAGAAAGAGTATGTATGTATTTTAGAGCTTAATTTTTCTTATGGCTGAGATACAGGGTGTAATAGATAGATATTGGTTATAATAGATAATAGGAAAGTGGCTTTAAAATGGAAGCCCATTTATAGACAGCTGATATATTTTCTTCCCTGGAGTTGGAATTACTTTCTCTGTTCTTATTTAAATTTCATCTTCTTATTTCTTTGGATAAAATTCCTGATAATAAATTCAAAAGTTTATCCAAATCTGCCTGTGGCTGACATGCTTAGCAGGCTAGCATAACACCGCCACAAGCTTCTGACTGAGTAAACACTCTGCTTTCGGCTCAGCATGTCAGTGGAGACAAGGTTTCTCTCATTTAAAGAAGATTTATTTATGTTTCTGTTATGTATACGGGTGTTTCGCCCACATGTATGTATGTACTACACATACATGCTTGGTGCCTGTGAAGCCGGAAGAGGGTGGCAGATCCTCTTGGACCTGAAGTTACAGAGTGGGTGAGCAACCATATGGGTGCTGGAACCCAAACCTGGGTCCTCTGCAAGAGTAGCAAGTGCTCTTAACCACTGAGCCATGGCTCCAACTCTGATCTACAAGCTTTCTTAACTGTCCCAATTCCTCTTTGGTGGTTAATGTTAAGGAATGTGCAGAGTACATTTTTCCTGTAATTTGATTTACAAATGCAAACTTCACAGCAGAAATTGTCTAATTCTTCTGCTACAATGGGCTCATAGAATGGCCATCTTCTGTCTCAGGTACTTGGGCTACATGTGCGACCTACTTGCAGACAAGCCCTACCGCCCCCACTTCAAGCCACTCACAATCAAGGCAGTCACTGTCAGCCCAATTCCCTTCTTCAATAAGCAGAGAAATGGGTGTCGCCCATACTGTGATGTACTGATTGGAGAAACCAAAATATATTCAACATGCACAGACTTTGAGCGAATGAAGTAAGTCACCATGCTGTCTCTTCTTGCATGCTTAATTCCTGTGTAAGTTGGATTCTTCCTGCTTATTGCTGTGATGAGTTGTTTTTTTTTTTTTTTTTAAGCCCAACTGGTGTAATCAAAGATAAGCACAGCTGAATCCAAGGATTTTCCTCCTTTATCCAGTGGTATCATGTAGGAGTCCAGATGATAGAGATGGGTAGGCATAGAGGACCTGGACATTTGAAAAGGAAACTCAGTGATTTGGGTAGATGACTTTCCTAGTTACTTTTAAATTAATGTGCTAAGATACCATGACCAAGGCAACTTATAGAAAAAAAGAGTTTATTGGGGGTGTATGGTCTCAGACGGTGAGTTCATGACCATCATGTGGGGAGGATGGCAGCAGACAGGCAGGCATGGTGCTGGTGCAGTAGCTAAGAGCTCACATTTTAACACAACTATCAGGAGGCAGATAGAGCTAGCTGGGAGTAGGGTGGATTTTTGAATCCTCAAGTCCTCTCCCAGGGATGCACCTCCTCCAATAAGTCCACACCTCCTAATCCTTCCCAAACAGTTCCACCAACCGGGACCAACTATTCAAATATATGAGCCAATGGGGACCATTCTCATTCAAACCACCATACTGATGATGTACTTAAAGTACATATATAGTCTAAAAAGAAGAACAGGCACCAGCGGGAGGGATTTAGGAGACAAGGGAGTGGCTGGTAACACAGCATAGACTTAGTTGGCAATAGGTTAATTTAGGAGTCAGAATTCTAGACCCTGGGAGAGTATGACATTTCTCTCTCTATTCTGACCTTGGTTGATTTTTACTGTATGAAGCATGGTGATTTGAGGAAAACAGGATCTGTCTAGAAGTCCAGATGAGATGGAGAGAGAAGACCTGTATCTGGTCAGTGCTCTACCAGCTCAGAAACAGTCTACATTCAGTCAATGCTGGCTACATTCCTACCTTTGCACAAAACAGGAAGTAGTTTCTTGGTCCAAGCCTTGGTAAACAGGTCCCTTAGAGCCATAAAGGAACATTCCTGTGTCTGTGATGGTACCACACTGGACGCTTTCATGGTCTCTTCTGATCTCCATTTAAAGAGAATACCGTGTCCAAGATGGGAAAATCTTCATCCCCCTGAACATTACAGTCCAAGGCGATGTCATCGTTTCCATGTATCACCTGCGGTCAACCATCGGTAGCCGACTGCAGGCTAAGGTAAGCTTTTAGGAAGACTCAGACTATAACCCACCTGAATTTGTAATATGAATACTACTGGGTCTTTTCTCTATCATTTTGGGCTTGGTTGACTTGGGAGTTTAGAGTGATAAAGACTCTTAAAACCTGCTGATGTCTGTCTTCTTCATCATGGTGGGAGGGAATGGAGATTGAGGCAGGTTGTGACTTATACACCATCATGGGTAGACAGTCCCAGAACCTCAACAAACTACATTCTTGAGAAGCCAAGTCTTTCTTTTAGTGCTGTGTTTAGGGGATCACTATAAACTATAAACATGTATAGTTAAAAAATTCTCCATGAGAGATGGCTCAACAGGTAAACCGCCTCGCAACCAAGCCTAATTACCTGAGTTGGATTCCTAGGATTCCTCCCCCAAATGCAGTGATTTTTAGTGTATTCAAAAGGTGTTGCTGCTGTTAGAATTCTCTTATTTAAGAATCTTTTCTTTACCCCTAAAAGAAACCTTGACCCATTAGTAGTCACAAACCATCCCTCCTTCCCTGCTTGCCTTCTAACCACTGTGAATCTTTTTTTTTTTTTTTCCTGTTTCTGTAGACTTTATTTGGGAACATTTCATATAAATGGAATCATATAGTATGCAGTCTATTGTGGCTAACTTTTTTTACTCAGTGTGATATGTTGGAGGTTCATTTGTGTTTTAACATGTATCAGTATTTCATGCTTTTACATAGTTAAGTAATGTTCCATTGAATGGATACACCAAATTTATTGATTCTCCATGTTTGAATTATTTCTAATCTTTGGATATTAGGAAAGATGGTGCAAGTAATTATATCTTAATTGATCACATATTCCATCCATTGCCTAGTGTTTTGGATTAACAAAAGTAATATTATATTCTTAGTTTTGCAAAACTGATCTGAGGAGGGGGCAAGTCAAGCATATATGAATATCCACTCTTCTGCATCAGAGGACAGATGTGGCACTGTCATTGGAACAGTTTGTTTTACCTAGTGGTGGCCAGGCAGACTGTGGAGGTGGGCCTTAAAGGATGAGTTTGTTTTGGAGAAGGACACTCTAGGAAGAAAGACTATATAAGAACATGGGATATCAGTGGGTATTGGCTTGCTCTGGAGAAGAGAAACTAGCAATTAAGCTGGGGGTTCATTTAATATTCATATTCCACAAAGAATCAGATAAAGAAGCAATGGAAAGTACTGGCTCCTCAAATCCAGTTTTTTGGTGCAGACTCTCTTTTCTCTTACTGATCATGCTTCTTGCACATATTTTTAGGTGACCAACACACAGATATTCCAGCTCCAGTTCCATTCTGGATTCATACCACTGGACACAACAGTTTTAAAGTTTACCAAGTAAGTGCTGTAGGGACCTGAGGTCTTTACCAGCATAGCCAGGAGCCCTGAGTATCTGTACCAGCATGCTGCCACCTCCAAAGTCCCACACTGAGTGTGGTTGGTCTTAAGAAATGCATAGGTATCACAGAGTTAACAGAAGGTCCCTGTTAGGGAACAAGGAATCGTGACTTCTCTCCTTTGTGTTTGTGGATGCTTATGCCCAACAGGAATGGCAGTAATTTCTGGGATGGCATAAGCAGTGGCCCCTCATAAGGGGTGTCTGGCTAGGGCACTGTGAAAGAGGTGCTGGGGAACCCAGCTGCACCACATATTGACCCGAGGTTGCTATAGCATAATGTGACTATGCATCTCAGGGTGTGGCTGAATCTGGGGTAGCGGGGATTGCTGGAGCCAGGAAACAGGGAGCTATGAAAGATTCAGGGGTTCAGGCTGAGAAGATAGCTTTGGGTCCGTCTCATTGTTTTGGTGACCTATTTATTTATCCATGCCAGGGCATACTGGCCAGATGTCTGAACCCTGCTTCTCACAGTGCTTTTGTTAGTGTGCTTGGTAGTAGTCAAAGGACTTGAGCAAGTATTGCTCTGCTTTGTCTACATGAGGAAACTGAAGCATCCCGAAATAAAGTGACACCGGGTTAGTGACTTAGTCCACCTAGAAGTGACTTTAGAGCTGAACTCGTCAGCTTGAGCTGAGCCTCGTGTTGAGCATCCTGCTGATGGCACTGCTGGTGCTGTGTTTTTCTTTCCATTAGGCCTGAGTTAGATGCATGTGATGTACCAGAAAAATATCCTCAGCTGTTCCAAGTGACACTGGATATAGAAGTACAGCCCCAAGACAAAGTGATCGATTTAACTCCACCATGGGAGCACTACTGCACAAAAGATGTGAACCCCAGCATCCTCTTCTCCTCTCAGCAGGAGCATCAGGATACTCTGGCCTTAGGAGGTATGCGTGAGTCATGGCCGGTTTGGGTTTTTGGGATGCAGCCTCTGTGTTTTTTACTGCTTTGCTTTGTTCCCTATGTTCTGGTGACCCTGTGTGGGCTTTTGTCTTGCAGGCCAGGCTCCTGCAGATCTCCCTCCAGACCATCCCAGAAATCTTGGGCAAGGTGGCTTCTTTGCCTCCCTCTGTTGGCAAGGTATGGTAAACCTCTAAATTAGGATGATGGGGTGATTAAGTGACTAAGTTGTCTAGTGGTTTTATTAAGACATTTCTTGAAGCAATCTCACTAAAGTTTCCTTTCTCCATTATTTCAGACCCTTCCCTTCATTTTTTGTTTTTGTTTTGTTTTTTTGTTTTTTGGGTTTTGTTTGTTTGTTTGTTTTTGTTTTTTCGAGACAGGGTTTCTCTCTGTAGCTTTGGAGCCTATCCTAGCACTCGCTCTGGAGACCAGGCTGGCCTCGAACTCACAGAGATCCGCCTGCCTCTGCCTCCCGGGTGCTGGGATTAAAGGCATATGCCACCAACGCCGGGCCCCTTCATTTGTTTTTTAAATCAGGCAACTTGCCTGCTTTCAAGGCATGAGTGCTCAGACTGACCAGAAAGCCAGTGTAGGCTAAATTCTACCTTCTTTGTTTGCTCAATGTTTCCAAGCCACATCCTCCAAGACTGATGAACTGTGATATATTCCAGGATCTCTCCTTAGGCTGCTGACAACTCAGAACGACTAAAAAGAGTTCAGTTTCCTACCTTCAGGCACATATTCTAAAGACATAAAGTTGAGTATTGTCTCAAGCACTGTACCTCTAGTAAGACAGGAGGGGTCTTGCCCTGGCATGGTGAAAGGAGTCACGTGTCCTGTATCTCTGCTAGTTGCTTTAGCAATCATTAACCTAGGCAAGGCCCTACCACTGTGCTATTTTCTCCCACACCGGGAGGCATTTCCAGGCCCTTTCTCAACCTTGCACTTGGCATTATTATGTTGAGGAGGAGACAGCCATGGGCATTCTAGTTATGTACACTGGCCATTCTTGCTTTGCAGTTTGCAGAGGTTAACTACTAAGTGTTGTATAGAATCAAACAGTCAAGACTTTTTATGTGAAAGGAGTGGGAATTTAGCTTCAGAGATGGCCTAGCCAACATTTTCTTGACTGACCTTCCTCTGATGTGTGAATGTAACATAGTATTCCTACAGGCTGTAGCCATTTTCAGTGTTAAGTTAAAAAATACTTATCTGATGCCTTTGGATGAAAAGGTTTGCTTACAAATTTTTCTTTTGTACAATGCAATGGAAGCATCTCTGTCCTAGAAACCCAGCTGGATATGACTTGCAGATGGATCGTCAGCCTCTCCTTGGTCCTTACCTTGCATCTTTCTCATAGGAATGGCTTCTCATAAAACATTGCTCTCACCTTCCCATTGCCATGTTAATATGTAGAAATAATTTTGTGGCACTGGAGAGATGGCTTAGTGGTTAAGAACACTTGATGCTTTTACAGAGGACCAATTGTAACTACAATTTCTGGGGATCTTATGTTCTCTTCTGACCTCCAGAGGCACACGCATGGTACATAGACATAGACGCAGGCACTCACACGTAAAATCTCTTTAAAAAGAATGAATCTCTGTTTTAGCACAGGTGCATTCTCTTATTTGGTTGGGGCTTTTACATGATGTAAAATTATCTAAAACTACTACCGGTGGCATCTTAGATGACAGCCTGCAATCAAACATTAATGTTTCTACAGTGGGACAAATCAGTAGTAACTTGTGGGAGGCAGCAGAAGCCCACAGGTAGTCATAGATCCTCCTGATACTCTTCTGATGAGCTCACACCAGCAAACCCAGACCAGCCTTGTCCTTCCCACAGATCTTCGCGTTTCAGAGTTGGGGCTCACAAGTGTGAACCTGCCCCCCATTTAGATTGTGGGCCTGTCTGGCATGAGATAACAAAGTGCCGTGGAAGATAAGTCTCACGAGCAGGGCCTGGACAGGTGCACAGAAGCCTTTCCTTTCTCCCCAGCGGAAGCATCTCACCTTAGCCCATTTTATGTGGAAAATATCTTTTCCAGATGTTGAGAAGATTGTGGGGAAGAACCATTGAATTTGCTTCTTAGGGTGGTTGCTTCTGCTTCAGGTCACGTGGAGAAAGAAATAAAGGGCGATGGACTGGGTGTTACTGTCATTTTCTGTAGCACCCCACATAGTGTCTGGGAATCAGCATTGAGGTGCTACTTGTTATTGATCCGAGTTCTTTTTTTTATTATCATCTCATGTAATTCTTATAGCAGCCTGTGCACTGTGTAGTATGTATCACCCCTGTTTAGCTGAGGTGGAAATCAAGATACAGAGAAGTAAAGTTACTTACTCAGTGTTACACGGCCAGTGAGGGATGGAGCTGGGTTCCAGATGGAGCCTGGACCCAGAATTTCGCCTCTTAGTCCTTAAGTTATACTGCTTTGCAGATGTTGAAAGCAGCTGAGAATGCTTTGAAATGAAAGCTTTTGCATTGGCAGGGGTCTGAAAACACTGTTTGCTCAGGGCTGGTGTGTCTTCTCTTTCCGGAACAAGGTACACATAACAAAACTCACCTGATCCAGCGGTCAGTCATCCAATTATTTATTTCCCATTGGCCTTTCTCAGATCAGAAATCAGAAAAGGCTTTCTGTGAGGAGGACCACGCTGCCCTGGTGAATCAGGAAAGTGAGCAGTCGGATGATGAACTACTGACCCTCTCAAGTCCGCATGGCAATGCCAACGGTGACAAGCCTCATGGAGCCAGGAAGCACGGCAAGGAGCAGGAGCCAGCGGCCCCTCCTCCCCCGGAAGAGGTGGACCTTCTGGGCCTGGAAGGGTCTGATGTGAGCACGAACTTCTCTCCCCTGGCAGCTCCTCCCAGCAATTCTGAACTGCTGAGTGACCTGTTTGGGGGTGGAGGTGCCACAGGTCCTGCCCAGGCAGGACAGGCTGGGGTAGAAGATGTGTTTCATCCCAGTGGACCTGCGTCTGCGCACTCCACACCACGCCGCGCCGCCACCTCCGCCTCCGCGTCACCCACCCTACGAGTGGGAGAAGGTAATCTTCCCATAATTCTCTTTTATCTCAGATTTTAGAAGTAACTCTTGGGCCAAGCGGGTAGAACTCAAATATTTTAGTTAGCTGAACTTTTCTGGTTTCTTTGAGAGTTCTTTGGAAGAACATAAGGAAAATACAAATATTGTCATTTTGGTAAAAAGGTGTGGGGATATATTTGAACTCCATACTCTTTTTTTAATTTAAAGTTTTTATTTATTTTGTGAATTTCATACCAGTACTGTATTTGCATCATTTCACCCTTTTCCTCCTCCCTCCTCCAGCTCCTATATCCCCCCTCCCCTCTCAAATACATAATCTCTCGTTTCTTAATTATTATCATTACATCTCTATCAACCCACTGAATCCCTTGAGTGTTGCTCATATATCTTTAGGACTGACTACTTGGGATTGGGTATCCTATCAGGGAGCTCATCCCTTGGAAAAAGGTAGTCTCCTTTGCTCCACAGCCATTGACTTTCTGTAACTCTTTGTCTAGGAGTGGAACCTAGTAGGTTTCCTCTGTCTGTGTTGGCATGTCCACTGGCACTGACACTGTTTAGCCAGCCGTATGGTTGAGATGTCATGGGTGCAGCTTCTCTGTAGCATCCAGAAGACACTGTATGGCAGCAGGCATCTCGGTCCCTAGGCTGAACTCCATGCTCTTAATTTCCTTTTCTCAGGGCTGGAGCCTTGAGTCTGCTTTGGTTGTTTCTGCTTGGAGACGGAGATGGATGAGCTGTTATTTACTACAGCAGCTGATATTTGTGTGATACTCGCCACTTGCCAGATAAAGAATAATACATGATTAAACATGACTCGGTTCTTATAAAAATCAGGAGGCAGATGTTATCATTATCTCCACTTCATAGTTGACGAAATAGAAACTTACAGTTTAATTAGCAGCATTTGTTCAAGCAGCTGAGAATTGATGGAGCAGGGGTCCCAACTTGACCTGTGGACTCGGAGCTTTCCCTCAGACCTCCTGTAACGCTTTGAATTCTAGTTTTCTGGATATACCCTGGCTGTACAGAGAAGTGTCTGGTTATATCAGAATATGCTTGAGGGGCTCAAGCCAGCAGCATGGTTGGGGAGAGAATTGTGGCTGGTCTTTGTAAGGAGTCTGAGCCATACATACTCAGCTAGTTTCAGTAGACACATCACCACAGACTTGGCCCTTCCTTTTCTGGGTGAGCCACAGCATTAACATTTGCAAGATGATGTAGCTGGGTACAAGAGATTCTTTACAGCCTCAGAATAACCAGCACAAGCCAGCTACCCATGTGACTGTCACCATTAAGATGATACTGCATCAGGAAGGGTAAAAGAGATGAATCTCAACCATCTAGGCTTGGGGGATGCTATCGGAACCCTCACTCACACTAGGCCTTAATCTTCTCTGAAGGCTCCGGTCTGGTCTTGGCTTGTGAAGCTCTGGATGCCTCTTTTGTGAGAAGGGTAACTAGAATCACAGAGCTCATGTGAAGAGTTTCCATTGGTGATGGCTGGATGGGAATCTGGGATCTCACATCCTACATCGTGGCTCTTCTGTGTTTTGCTTTCTCCCATCCAATTTTGATTTATCAGGAAGAATAAAAGGTTCGTCAGGAAAGCAAAATCCCAAGATAGAAAACAGCAGTGTTCGGGGGCTGGAGAGATGGCTCAGTGGTTAAGAGTACTGCCTGGGCTTCCAAAGGCCCTGAGTTCAATTCCCAGCAACCACATGGTGGCTCACAACCATTTGTATTCTGGTGCCCTCTTCTGGCCTGCAGACATACATGCAGGCAGAACACTGTGTACATAATAAATAAATAAATCTTTAAAAAAGAAAGAAAGAAAGAAAGAAAGAAAGAAAGAAAGAAAGAAGGAAAGAAAGAAAGAAAACAGCAGTGTTCCATGGCCAAGTTTTAAGACAAACCATCCTAAGGACATTTGATAATTTAACTCTTCGTAGTCCTATGCTGCTAGGTGTATTCATGTCGGAGCTATAAGACACCATCAACACCAGTTAGTTCTGTCTGTAAAATCATAGAGATGCTGTCTAAGCATACCAGCTATTAATGGCAGACATAGATGTAAGGCTCAAGTATTCTGTCCCTCCAAAAAGAAACAATACCAAGTTTAGAATTAATAGCTGCATTTGGATCACAGGACTAACACTTAATTATCTGGGTAGCCTTGTTAAAAGTTTAATTTGAGTTGGGTGGTGGTAACACATGCCTTTAATCCCACACTTGGGAGGCAGAGGCAGGTGGATCTTTGACAGTTTCAGCCCAGCCTTGTCTACATAGGGAGTTTCAGGCCAGCCAGGGCTATATAGTAAGACCCTGTCTCAAAAATAAGACAAAACAATAAACACCCTCTTACTTTGCTTGGTTGGGGATAATGCCAGTGAGCATATGGTAAAGAGTAACTCTTGAGATTTCATCTGTAGTATGCACATTTCATCTTTGGTTCTTGGAGAATTTCTAAAACGAGGTGATATTAAAAGTGCTCCAGTAATCTTAGAAGTCTTTAGTGTCTTCTCCACTGGTTAGCTTCGACTAGAAACAGGTGGCTTACCCTTTGTCCTCTGACGGTCACAGTCACCCTGCTAACCCCAGTGTTCCCATAGAGGTGAGGTCAAGGGATGTGCGTCCTGGACTGCATTGCCCGAAACAGTGTAGGTACTGCTGATCTGCTGCCTCACAGGTGTGGGAGAGCATTGTGCCAGTGACGTCATAGCTGTAAACTTGTGAGCCACATGCCCCGCTGCATCGTGACAGTGGGAAGTGCTGGTTCACTGCTTTGGTTCTCAGGCTCTATTTCTAGAATGGGTCAGCCCCACCCCAGGAAGCAGGCTGTCGTCAGCTTGGTGTGTGCAGCTTTGGAAGTGGCATCTCACTTTAGGGAAGCTCAAGGAGGTTTTCGTCCTTGCTCATTAGTGAGAAATCCAAGGGCAGTTGTCTCCATACAGCTCAGTGATTGGCAGGCATCACGTTCATTTTATAATTGATTTTTGTGATGATTATCTGGAGCCTGGAGCTGGGAGATTTGAACTGGAGTCTAGTGTAGCGTTTCCTGGACTCAAACAAGAGCAAGTTTCTGAATTTCAGTCTGCCCAGGGCTGAGTGAAGGTGACAGCACTTCTGTTTGCCAGGGAGAAATTGAGGACCACCCAAGGTCTTGTTGTATCACAGTAGAGCCCCAGGAAGCATCACTCTTGCTGGCAACCAGGGCCTTCAACCTTGCTAGTGTCCTCCCAGCTTTCTCTAGCTCCTGGTTGCTTGTTGAGTCAGTGTTTTAGAAATGCTTGAATCCCATGGACTCGAGAGAATGCAGCTTCACTCGCTGCTCTCATTTTGTTCTGTTTTTAGCTTTCAAGTGAGTTGAAGGTCACTTAAAAACAAAGTTTAAAAAGTCCTACTTAGTGCGGTTGTCCTTTTCTTTTGACATGTGTCTTACATAACTCAGGCTGAGCTTGAACTCACTGTGTAACCCAAGATGACCTTGAACATCTGATCTTCCCATTTCCACCTTCTAAATGCTGGGATTACAGGCATGTACCACCATGCCTAGTCTTATGTGTCACTGGGGCTCAAACCCAAGGCCTCATGTATGGTAGGCAAGCATTCTACCAATTGAGCTACATTCCTAGTCCTATCAATGGGGTTTTCCACTATTTGTCTTTATAGCAATGCCCCCTGCCTGGTGTTTTCTCATTAATTCCTTTTACATGAATGCTCATTAGTCACTGTACCCCCGTAGTCTATATGTAGTTTGGGCAGCTCACAGATTCATCTATGTTGACCTTGTTTTCTAGCTAGCCTCTAATTATGATTTGCTGGTTTTATGTTACTAAGATTTTCAAAAGCTGGCTTCGGGAGGTGACTCATTGATTAAAACAACTGGCCACACAAATGTCAGAACCCGAGTCTGAACCCCCAGAACCCACATAAAAACTGGATGTGTAATGTGAACATCTGTAATCCCAGCATTTCTACAAGGGGATGGGAAGTAAAGGGAGACAAGCCCAGAACCTCCAAGCTAGCTAGCCTGATGTATGCAGCAGAAAAACAAGACAGTCTCAAACAGGGCAGAAGATGAGGACAGATAACTTCACTCTGTGGTGTGCTGCACACACACACACACACACACACACACACACACACACACACTATACGCACCCACAGGATTCATAAAAGCTACTTGAACCCTCATTTAGAGTTATGGCTTTTCTAATAAATCCAGACTCTTTCATCTACATGGGTGGGATGATTTCTGTCATGTTGGGACCCACTGTTAGTTCCAGAGGAAGTCTAAGTCTAGGAAGGTCAGGAGGTAAGCACCAGACTGGTCTTTCAGGCTTTTGGCAAGCTAACAGTGGCAACCCTTTGGTATCTATACAACAACTAACTGGCAGGATAAAGAAATACATCTTCCCTTTGTTTTCTAGGTGCCACCTTTGACCCTTTTGGAGCCCCCACTAAGCCATCAGGTCAGGATTTGCTGGGCTCCTTTCTGAATACATCCAGTGCTTCTAGCGACCCCTTTCTGCAGCCCACAAGAAGTCCTTCCCCTACAGTGCATGGTAAGAAAGTGTTTTCTATGACGAGTAATGCAATAATGGAGTGGTTTTCCACAAGACAATGCTGGGTACTGAGATATAAATGTCAAA